TCTTTCTTTCTTTCTTTCTTTCTTTCTTTCTTTCTTTCTTTCTTTCTTTCTTTCAGATATCCATTAACAGTCAAGGTAAGAAAAATCATCAAATGCAAGTTACAAAATAATAAGGAAATAAATCAATGCTATTGAGCTTCAACATAAAATCTATTGTACTTACATTTTTCCAGGGGAATATGAGGAAGCACTTAAGGTAAGAATTTGTTGACAGTTTTCATTAGAAAGCTGTAAGAGTTCACTTRATATCACATTTCTTCCAGTTACATTTTACTGTTGTTTCTTACTGAACTGTCAGGTGGTGTGAAAGATGTGAAGAAGTTTTATTTTACTGTTTGCCTAGAGTGCAACCAGGCAGGGAAATCGCCTGAACATGAACGTCTGTGAGATCAGAGGACACCCAGCCAGGGTCTCATCCACCAAGGTCACTGGAGCAGAGCCTAAGAAGGGCTTCAGACCCACACAGCACTGCCCCACTCTGACCCAGGCTGTCAGCCGCAAGGTTCAGGCTGTGGTACCAGAACAGAGTATGGTAAGGCTGCAGTACACCGTGTTTATACCAGGCACCTGTAGGCCTTGGTCTGTAGGAGACGATAATGAGCAGACAAATGTAGGCCACAAGGATTCAAAAGTTTGAGGATGTTTATGGATCACAGGTGTAATAGRTATTGCACACACAATTTTCAACTAAATAATGAATATTAATACCATTATGTTTGTTCTAATACTTTTCAAGGGCAGTATCATTAATCTTTTAAAGAATTATTTAAAAAAAACATTGCATCACAGTTTCACAAGGTCGGACCCATGGATGCAGGCCGACACAAGGACCTGATGAAAAGATTAAAGGTTGATTAAAAATTAACCAAAATAAATTTCTAGTGTGGCAGCAAAACGAGAGAGAACAGAAAGAACACAAGAAGCCCGGATGAGAACCAGACAGGGCATAGCACTGAAACAATTCACCTGGGGGACCCCAGGTGTTCCCAGGCCAGAGATGATAGTTAATCCCACTCAACAACATTTCCAGTCCAGGTCAGCAGTTCCCCACACAAASCAAGTACAGCCTGGGACAGGGAGTAAAGAAAACTCCTGAAGGCCAACTGAAAGTCATGTACTTAAKAATAAAGATGATGATGATTAAGAAATGGTTTGGTTTGTAACAAAGGAACAACACTTTCTGCTATTGTTTGTAGTAAATCTTCTCAGATTAGGTCTGGTTGGATGGGGGGATGTTGGAGTCATTTTGAGATCTCTGCAGAAATGTTTTATAATCAGGACTCTGAATTTATGACTGTCTCTCTAAGCTCCTCTGGTGTTTTGAAGATGTTCGAAAAGTGAACCTTTGATCCAGTCTGAGGACTGTGGAACATGTTTTTTCTGAGGATACCAGTTTACTTTGCTGATTCCTCTTAGCCCTGTCTCCCTGTCTTTCTGCTGAAAAATACCCCCAAGCATGATGATGTCACCACCACACTTCCCTGCGGTGATGTGTTGGGCCGGTGATGACAGGAGCCTGGTTTCATTCAGACGTAACGTTTAGAACTGAGGCCAAACTCTCAATTCTTGGGCGCATCAAACCACATGATTAAAAAGTGGCGTCTACTGATCCACTCAGCCAATATCGTATTTTAAATCAACACAAACTCATCTGATTGTTGTCTATGTTTGTGCTTTTACTGAGTAGGAAGAATCTACATTAAAATATCAAACACAGTTGTGATATCTCATATAACACATCAATAAAGAGACAAACAAACTAAAGAACAACAAAACTGAACTTCCCAACAGTTGCTTATTAGGATTGTTAGGTTAGGTGCATTTCCATCATTATTCTTCTGAGCTGAACCTGAAGTTAACCGTAGAACAGGCCCAGGTACTGGTATGATCGTAGTAATCTTACTGACTAGGAGCGCCCGAGAAACTTAGTAATTTTAACCCACTTTAACTAAAGGTTTTTCAAATGTTATCATTTAACACCTCATTCTCTTGTCCAAATTTGAATTTCTTTGATTCTAAGTTGATGCTTTGATGTGTTAAATTAAAGATGCAAGTCTGCAATATTTATTAGACTTAATATTTTATTTAATTTGACCAGTTTATCATGAAGGAGGTAAAAGGGGCCAAGGAAGAAGACAAAGTTCCGCCCGCCTGGTTCACTTCATATATGGAAAAGGTAAGAAAAGACTTTGCTTCTTCCAGTTTCAGGGTTTAGAAACATGACATAAGTTAAAGAAACTTGCTAAAGAAACATTGAAGGAGCTGCTGGACAAAAATCCATCATAACTTTCTGTAAGGATATGTAAAGTATACTAATTCAGTGGTATAGATAAAGAAGAGGTTTTAGTTGCTAATTTTCGCTAATCATTAAAACACAGGATCCTCTTTTTTTTGTCGACATCTCCCCAGTTTAAAGACCAGGTGGTCCGTGAGGCAGTGGAGAAGATCTGCCAGGAGTTCTCAGGGCAGTGCTGCATCCATAAGCCTCTGGCTGGAGGAGGGGGTGGGGGAGGCAGTAGAGAAGAAACCATAGGAAGAGCAGAGTCACGGCAGAATTCTGAGGTGTCTTCTTCAACGCTGCCTGGAGTTCCAACATCTTTCACTCCGTCTTGTTCCTCATGCAAAGGGCAGACCTCTGGAGGTGGCTACCAGTGCAGGTATGATGCATTTTATCACTCTGGCTGAGCGGTTAGGGGAGTCAATCCTCTAATGCGAGAGTTGGACGTTCGATTCCACCGCTATCTGGTCACATGTCAATGGGCTAGACCCCCACTGCCTCTGCTGTGTGTCCCATCAGGGTATGAATGGGATTTAAAGCACTGATTAGTCTCTATAGATTGATTTATTTGTATTAGCTTTGGAGAGAGCTCTATCAGAGTGCTGAATGGATGTGTGGGTGAATGAGGGCACAGATTGTAGTGTAAAGCTCTTTGTGTATCCTGGTTGGAGAGAAAGGTGCAATATAAGTACAGTCCACTTACCATGTGACTAACTGCATTGACTTTTGCTTCATATAATAGAAACCAGATGATAAAAAATACACCAAATCCCTGGTGTTTATCCACCTGTTCTCCCAGGTTTATCCTTTAGACTTGGTCCAGAAGTCTTCCATCGAAAACCAATGTTTTTATTTTTTTTATCACATACAAGCAAAATACAAAGTGAGAACTGATAAATGCAAAGTGATGAAGAAAAAACTACACCTTTTTTTTACAATTTTGATTTTAAAAATGAATTCTTGGAGACAGGGATCACTGTAGCCGACAGGAACCCATTCCAAGGACAGATTGAACTTCTTTGTTAGAACTCTGGTCACCACAAGCATTGAGTTCTTTAACTAGAGCTTTGTCTGCTCTTGCAGCTTTTCTTGTGTTCACAGCCAGCAGAACACGCCTCACTTCATGTTCATGTGGAGTGAGTGGGCAGGACTGGAGGTCTGTTGGGGGTGGTACAGCAGTGTGGGAAGTAGTTTCAAAGTGGACTTATAAATGATTTAATTCCTCTGGTATTTGCCTCATCAGCCACAGGAGCTTTGCTTTTTGTAGTTTGTAATATGTTTTTTTTCCTGCCACACCTGCTGTGAGTTGTGATGAGTGAGACAGAGAAAGACCTCTTCTTTTATAGACCTCTGTTGTTTTGATACCCCTTCTCACATTTGCTTCTTGTACTGGTCCCAGTCACCTGATCTGAAATCCGTTTCAGCACCTAAACCTCTTCAGTCATCTGTTGGAATAGATCCAGGTGTATTCATCCACCCTGACATTGTCTATGCAGTACTTCATATAAGACAGCACAGGCTGAGAGTACTCCATCAGCTCCATTTGTTCAGTTATGTTCCACTCTGTGGGAAGAACAGAACAAAACAGTCCAGTCTGTGTGATTTTCATGGCTGGTTTGGATTTTCTTCTAGGGTGGTTAAATGCAGTGATATGATCTGACCTCTCTCCCCTCTCAGCTGAGGCAGGGATACTATTACTGCTACTACTGCTGCTGCTTCTTCTAGTTTAGAACATCGTCAGTGGCGTTCGGCTTTTCAGCAGTTCCTCATTTAGCCAGGCCATAAGGTCCTTGGACCTTTTAAAGTTCCTTACAGGAGCAACTGAGTCCAGTAGTTCAATAAATCAATTAAAATCCACAAAGCTCATGAGTACTACTGAGTTCATGAAGATACTACTCTGTATTCTTTACTTTAGGTTAGGTTAAACCTGGTCCAGAGTGTCTTTTCCTCCAGATGGGCACTACCCAAACTGTGGAAGCAGAGACCCATTCATTAGGGCAGGGGTGTCAAACTCCTGTCCTCGAGGGCCGCTATCCTGCATGTTTTAGAGGTTTTCTTGCTCCAACACACCTGATTTTGATCGCTGGGTGATTAACAGGCTTCTGCCCAATTTGAAGAGTTAATTCAATCACTGAATCAGGTGTGTTGGAGCTGGAAAACCTCTAAAACATGCAGGATAGTGGCCCTCGAGGACTGGAGTTTGACACCCCTGCATTAGGGTAAACCTTCAGCTGTTTGTTTATGAAGCCCTACAGTTTGGAGGGGACCATCAGAGAGAAGGTGAACAGCAGTAATAATCACGCCTGTAAACTCCCAGCAGACAAAATTGCAGTCACATAACCGTCATTAAATTTGAGGTTGGAAGAGCCATGGGTGGAAATATCTTCACTGTTTGTTGACCTGTCTTTGTGGATGCAGATGCAAAGACCCCCCTCCTGACTGCCTGTTCCTGTTGTATAGATGGTTCAATGTGATGTAACAAGCTTAGGCTACGAGTTCAAATCACCATATTTGTCAGCTCTAACAGAAGAGGGTAGTATTGTTTAACCAACAGTACCAGGGTTTTCTCCAGCATATTTGATGGTGGCCCACCAGTCCTTACTTATCCCCCTGTCAGGCTTAGATGCCAGTAGGGCTGCCACAAACGATTATTTTTATAATCAATTAATCACCGATTATTTTTTCGATTAGTCGACTAATCGGATCATACGTTAATTGAATATAAAACATAGAGCTTATCGTGCCAGAATGCAGCTGCTATTACTGTATATAACCATGGTTAGATTTTAGCTATATGCTAACTAAAAATAATTGCTGTGGAAGGTAAGTTCTGCTCTGCAGATATTGCACAGGTTTCTCTTTCATTTTCTTAAAATGATCCCACACTTTGAGCTCCATTGCTGGGTAGCCATGATACCAGAGCCTGTCTGTATAATGTCTTGTGACGTCCACGGCCTACCCCAGTTACCACTACTGTGCATGTGTGTCAAGGACAGAAAGGCAGATGTGGCAGTGGAAGGTGTCAAAGCAGTTTGGAGAGAAAAACAAAGTAAAAAAAAAAGAAAATGATTAATCGATTATTAAATTAGTCATCGATTATTTTAATAATCGATTAGTCGTCGATTAATCGATTAATCGTGGCAGCCCTAGATGCCAACACTGGCAAATCTTTTTTTTCTGTGCTTTTTTACATTTTCAAAATGAACTTCTTGGCATCTTWTTGAATCACATTTGTCTGTGATGGTGTAGCTTTACTTTAATAAAAGCTTGTTTAAGATATCCAAAGTTGTATTTAAGAGAAAGTTGTAATATATAAGTCTTCACACTTGTAGCTTTTTCAAACATAATAGTAAAATTTGTCAATACAAAAAAAAACACCATGTTTTAATACTCAAAACAATAATAACGGTGGACTGTGAAGATAACTGTTTCWACTCAAACATTTTATTTTACAGCTTTTAAATTTAAGGCGATCTAATATTTAGACTATACGTTTGTTTGTTTTTTAAATTACTAACAGACCGACAGGGGTGACTCCAACAGTGTCCTCACGCTACACTTTCTGTTTCTCACCTCACCTTCTCTCTGTCTTCTTTTCGCATTTCTGTCTTCAGTGTGTGTACTTCCTGTACTCTGTGTGAGCCGTGCAGCTTTTCTCATGATCCAAGTCACAACCTGATGAGAGCCAGGACCCCTCTGTCAATCCCAGAGCACGGATCCCCTGCTCCAGACCAAAACAGGTTTGACGTTACTGTTCACAGCCATCTAACACAACTAATATACACTCACAGGCCTCTTTCTATGTTACACTTGTTTAATGACTTGTAAATACAGACACTGTGTTCAGCACCAGAGATGGAACACTGAACACATCAAATAACAGGCAACATTCCCATRTGTTGTTGCYACTTTTTGTGTTMATAACTTTTGAACCACAAGCAATATTTCAAATCCAATTGCAGCAATCCATTTTTGAGAGAATTCTCATATCATTTGATATGCTACAAGACCAACTTCTCATTGGAAAATGTTTTACTTTGATCCATGATGGCAGCATTCAAAATGGCAGCCATGTTCTGGACATAGCCTAAAAGATCGGACCCCTCCCCCATTGCTCATTTTTTGTTTTACCTTTTCTTTCTGTAATAAAAGGGCGCACTTTTGACTTTTGACTCAACCTGTATTTTAAGTCAAACCAGAACATTTCAGTAATGACAGTCTTTTTAAAGTCAGCAGTACTCTCAAATGAAAAAAGACTAAAATGAATAGCTTTAGCTAAGGACTCACAGATTGAATACACTGTACAGTACATCAAACAGTGTTTCATTTGTTCAATCAATAACTATAAGTTTAGCTTTTGATCAACTGGATTTGTTTTAATTTTCTTAACACTTATACTTAACAAAGACCAGAGATCAACTGAAGTCACGTCCAAAGTCCACTTTTSTGTTCTGACCCAGCAGGATTTAATCACTGGTGTAATACCTTTGGTTTACTCTGARTTGTGTTTGTTTTCTGTTGTTGTACAGACTCTACAGACGAGGGGACCACAGTTTCAGAAAAGCAGAGAAGCAGAGGTTAAAGGCGGAGAAGCGCCTGCTGAAGGCRGAGGTCAAAGAAATCCGGAAACAGCTGAGAATGGAACGGCGAGGGATACAGTGGAGTTCCTCCCAAACAGATGGAGGCACTTCTCCGGTCCTCCTTCAGCCTCAAGCCACCCAACACAACAGCCCTGAGTAGGTTTAACACAAACCCAACACAACAGCCCTGAGTAGGTTTAACACAAACCCAACACAACAGCCCTGAGTAGGTTTAACACAAACCCAACACAACAGCCCTGAGTAGGTTTAACACAAAACAGGACAGATGTGTTGGCAGAAAGCAAAGTTATAACCATCAGATGGTCCTGTGAGGAGAAATCAGCTGCACATCTGGACAAATGAGTGTCCTAAAAAGCGCTATATAAGTTTAATGTATTATTATTATTATTATTATTTATTTAGTGCTTATTATTTATTATAATTATTTAGTTTAAGTTTATTTATTTATTGGGTTAGGGTTAGTTAGAAAGTGTTTTCGTGTGTTGTCAATAAACACACCCATTAGTGACAAATTCTAAAAATTATTCAAAAAGTTTAACCTTTGTCAGAAATTTTGTAAATGCTTCCATCAACTCCCACTCACTTGACTCCCTTTTCCTTATTGAAACACATGATAAAATCATTTMTGATCCCATATTTATCACATTGTAAAATAATTAAATAATTGTAGGGGGTGCTGTGGAGGAATTAGGCCACACCCCCTGTAGTGGGGTGGYTCAGGATCAACCATAGTGAATTCAGTGCAGATTGGCTGAAATATGTGGAATTTAYAGACAAARGTTTGTCAACGGTGTGATGTCTGACTTTGCTYCATCACCATGACCACACCTGTCACCAAAAGGTCTTTGTGCTTGATCCTTTAAGTTGTGTTTTTTAACCTCCACTTTAGGTTTTTATACTAGGGTTAAGGTTTGGCCCATTAGGTGGTGCTCCACTCTAACATTTATAACGCTGTAACGTGTAGCCCGATCAGAAAATTCACCTCCCTATTCTTCCAATTAGAGTCAAGCTGGTTTCTAACCCAGAGGTCAACAAGTGAAGTGTGAAGTTAGTTGCATTTGGTCAGGTTATCACAGGTGCATCACAAGTCAACATAAAGACGTGCTGTAGTCTACAGGTTTTCATAACCTCGCACCTGAACTCTTCAGCCAACAACATGGTTATACGGGGGGAGGAAACCAGAGTACCTGGAGAAAACCCACACATGAATAAGGAGAACATGTAAACTCCACACAGAAAGGCTGACCTGATATTTGAACTGAAGATCTTTTCACTAGCCGTGTTTCCATCAAGGTTTTTAATGCGCATTTTGAAGTATCGCATCAGAAAAGGTGGAAGGAAACGGCATAATTTGAAAAAACTTCCTCTAATTCGCATAAAAGTTGATACGCTCGCTTGAGGTGTTTTTTAGTTTGTTTGTTTTTTCGAAAAAGAGTTAATGTGCAAAAGGAGAGATGGAAACACATTTGCCAAATAAGTGACTGCAGCTGGACCCTCCTCCCGCTGTCGGCGTATTCTCAGTTATTCCCGTAACGTGAAGAGAATTGCATTTCTTTCTCTACGTCTCCAGACAGCATGTAACCACCAGAACTAGTTGATACGACAGAATAATTACAACTTTCCTGACAGTAGCAACACGTTCCTGATAACTTCTCTCCATTGTCCAGAGATGCGAGTTGTACTTCCTGTTTACTACACGCATGCATCTGATGTAACTGATTCACTTCAAGCCAGTTGATGGAAACACGTCTGATTCGCATTTCTTTGTTTTTTCCTTTTTGCGAAATTTAAAAAATTTGCTCAAAATTTGAATAAAAATTGGATGGAAACACGGCTACTGTGAAGTGCTAAAAACCAACATTAACATGCTGCTCCTCTTCTTCACATTCTTCTTCTTCTTCTTATCATTATTATTATAAAAACAACTTCACATTCAGATTTGAAGGACAAATTCTGAGTTCAGTTGCAATGGAAGTCATTGATAACTTGAATGTGCAGTCTTCATATTGGGGAGGATTTAGAAAGATGGATAAACAGATAGCTTTTATTGTCATTGTACATAGTACAATTCAATAAACTTACACAAAATACTGTACATTTGTGAGGTACTGTATAAAACATAGAACAGATTATTGCACAGTCCCCAAATAGCTGGAAACATAAGCTAAAAAAATCATCTGAATGCTGCAAACACACATAAAAAAATCATGTGCATGTGTTTGTAGCATTCAGTTCCCATACAGCGCTGGGATCAAAACTGTTTTTTAGTGTGTTTGTCCTGGATATGATGGACCTGTAGTGATTTCCAGCAGGCAGCTGTTGGAAAAGATGATATCCAGGGTGGAAGGAGTCTTTCAGTGTGTCGGCTGCCCTGCTAAGCTGAACGGGTCCCACAGATTGAGCAGTGGACGGCCAATGATCTAGGATAAATTGACCACTCTATAGTACTCTCCTTTCTGCCCCCGAGAGAAAACTATAAGCCTTACATTCGTGGGTGGAAGAATTGTTTATTTACAAACATTTTGAAAGTCCAAACAGTTCATAATGTTAGGGGGTCATAGGGGGTCTCCAACAAATATAAAACTTAAACAGTACTGATTGTGCAAATGTACTAAAAATAATCAAAATCCTCCTTCAGCTGCATAAAAAAGCAACTTCTTTGAATGATGTTACTAAATTTTTAAGCTTCTTTTACACGATGTATACTAGCAATAGTCATAGTACATGTTTCCTAAATGAGCTTCACATTTTGTTTATTGGTCTTTTTTAAGCTGCTGCTAAAATAATGACAGCTGATTATCAGCAGTCTTAATAATAATAATAATAAAAAACATTTAACATGACAGTAACATAAAGTCAGATTATACTTGTAAAGGAACACAAACAGAACTCACTTGATTAAAAAAGGCTTTATTTTTCCTCAGACATCCAAAGCACCCCTCACCTCTTGCAGTTCCAGCCATGAAAGCTGCTTTTCTGGATGAGAACCTGCCTGATGGGACCCGACTACGACCTGGAACCAAGTTTATCAAATATTGGAAAATGAAGAACACTGGAACAGTCAACTGGACCACTGACACCAAGGTAAACCCTTCAGCCCTAATCAGTTGTAGAAGAAATGAGATCCAGACTAAATGTATTCAACTGAACTCAAACAGAACCTGAGAAAAAAACCAAAGAGAATTAATCAAACTGTACAAAAATCACTAAACCCCAATTATAATCTGAGACTGACATTTGGTGTATGAACTGTATAAGAAGTAAAGAAAACCCAGATCAATGAAATGTTAAAGCTGCTGCATTGTGTTTCCATGGTAACTGCAGCCTCACATCTCCCGCCTTTAATCAGCATGAGACAGGCAGACAGAACTGAAGAGCAAAGAGTAAGCCTTAAACAAATGGGGAACTGGGTACCAGGACACCCTGGGATTAATGGTAACAAGAGCTGACTACCTTGCAAAAGCTGACAGTCAGGCCCACTTCAAAGGACCAGGGGTCAGATTTATAAAGGATTACGTGGAAACCCTACTAAAAGTGAACGTACGGCCAAAAGGCGGAAATGGCGTACGCAAAAAAAAAAAAAAAAAAAAAAAAAAAATTCAGATTTACAGTGGGTAAAATAAGAATTGAACACGTCAACATTTCTCTCAGTAAATATATTACTAGAGGTGCTAATGACATGAAATTTTCACCAGATGTCGGTAACAACCCAAGTG